GAAGATGGCGGGGTGCGGCTCGGCGCTCTGCGGCTGCTGCCCGCGCTGCTGCGGCGAGCGGGAGAGCCGCACCCCCGAGGAGCTGGTACGGACCCGCCTGGGCGCGGGCGCGCCGTGGGCCCGAGTGCCGCTGCCCGGCGCCCGCGCCGCTGCCCTGCCGGAGCGCGGCGGCCTTGGGCGGACCGGAGCCCTCGAGCAGGGCGCCTGCCCGCTGCCCTCTCCTTTGCGGCTTTGCTGGAGCTTTTCCTCCCCCAGGAAAGGTTCCSGCACCCCTGGGTTTGGTGTTGGCCTCGCTGCTGTGTGGGGAGCCCCGGTGCTGGTGTGATGTAGTGTGCGCAAGTGTATGTGCAGCGCAAAACACTTAAACTATAAACCTCTGTTCCGGTTCTGTCAGCAAGAATGAGATAGGCCTTCCCTAATTCTGTTGGCAAGCATCTGTATGTGCATTCGTTCTTCTCGTATTTTTTTCCATTCCCATGTTATTTTTTTTCTCTTTGTTTTTTAAGACCATCCTAGGAGAAACTCATGAAGAAGAGGATGAGATCCTTCCACGCAAAGACTATGAGGTGGGAAATTAAACATGTTAAGCTTGTTAAATTGATGTGGGAGTTGTTGTGGTTAGGCGTCGATCTGCCTGAGTCTGCAATAGGGCAGATGCTAAAATGTCACCATTGTAGCTGAAGGTGCATTGGGAGCTGGTGCTCAGCTTGGAAGGAACTGCTCCTCGTTCAGCTTGGCAGTTGTAGGTGAAAGCTCCGAGTAGAGCTTGAGAGTCTGGTGCACAAGTCAGAGTCGTGTTGAGAAGGTTCATTTCCTCAGTCTGCTGCGTTGTCCTCTTTACAAGAGCCTGTAATTCTCACGTAAGAACTTCATTTCCTCRTGACTGTAGAAATCCATTGCTCCTTGGTCATGGTTGCCTTACCACTTGGTCATGGTCACCTTACCACTGCCTGTATTTTCTGGCTAAAGTAGATCTTCCCATCTATCACGTACTKATTCTTACAGAAGCGTCTTGTCTTTTGTACATCTGTGTGGTAGCCAGGGGCTGCTTTGAGTAGTTGCTGTTACTGTGGGTGCTGCCAGCYTAGCCTCACTGCTTGCTTGGAAAAGTGAAGCTAATGCAGGCAGAAGCTGCTGGTACTTTGTGAGTGCAAACAGACACCTCTCTGTTGCTTTGATCACCAGATTGTGATGTGGTTACAAGTGGATGTGCTGCATTGTTTGCCTGGGGAGAAGTTGCTGTCTAGTACTTGTGTTGCAGATACAAAGATGTCACGCTATATCCTGCACTGTTGAGCTGGGAGTATTTAAAAATGAAAAGTCTGAATCTATACATGATGACTCAAAAGTTGTATTTAGTCACTCATACGCTTCTATTTACTTGTTTTTTTTCTCAGCTTGGGTAAGGGAATTTCGTTTGTTCTTTCATTTTCTAGTTTGCAAGGTTTGGCTCTACTAGAATATGTAAGTGAAGTTGTTCCCAGAAGTTTTTTCCATGTTTACTTACCTGCTGTGGTGACAGTAATTACTGCTGTAATCTTTGAGAAGATCTTCTCTCCTTAGATTTTTTTTTTTGACCAGCCTGTCACAGCTGATTCACCCTGTTTTACGTTTTACTTTTCTTCCAGAGCTTGGATTATGATCGTTGCATTAATGACCCATACCTGGAAGTTTTGGAGAGCATGGATAATAAGGTAAGATCTCTTTGCCTCTTTCTCTAACTTGAGAGGTAAAACTGTAGAAATATTCTTCACCAGATGAAGGTGGTGGTGGTGTTAGTTGGGTTTTTTTTCCTCTATGAAAGAAATTTTGTTTGTTATTTTTCTATACAAAGGATAAAAATAGTTTTGAAGATTGCAACTCCCAGCATCACTTCTGAATCTCAGATTTAAAGTGAGATTGTTACTGCTTTCAGTTCCCTGGTTTCAATTCACTGCTGATACCATCTCCTGTTGGCTTATCGTTCTAGCTGTAATTACCGTAGAGTGAAAATTCAGTATTGTTTTGATTTGACTTCTGTTTTTTACTTTGTTTTGGTCTTGCTTTCCTCTCCCTAAGCAGAAAGCCCGGAGATATGAAGCAGTGAAGTGGGTGATGGTTTTTGCCATTGGAGTCTGCACGGGACTGGTAAGGATCATGCTGTTTGAATAAGGAAGTTCTAGGACACCAAGCAGGAATCACTGAAAATAAATGGTCAAAGAGTAAAGAGGAGGAAAAAATGATGTTCATGAAGTGGGGGGTCTTTGTATAGGTGTGCTTGTTTTCTAAGCAATTGCAGCGCAGCTTTGCTAGATTACTTGCCAGGAAATGTTGTCTTTCAGCTCTTACCGTATACTCTTTGCAAAGTTTTCTAGCATATACTTTAATTCTGCATACAGGGAAACTTGTCTAAAGTGAGCGCTTTTAATAAAGTAGGATGTTCATTCACAGCTAATCCATAACTTAATTTTTTTAAGTACTGTCTTCTCTGGATGTACTAAATGTTTAAAAATTATCTCTGCTCACTGTATACTTCTAGGTGAAGACGAGTTTTCTTCTGTAATTTGAAGTATGTTGTAGTTGTTAGAAGCACCACCCAGCTAGCAGTCTGAAGTGCATCACTTTGGCAATAATGATGAGAGGGGTCTGTCCCAGTGAAAGCAAGGGAAAGCAGCAAACCTGAGCTTCCAATTTGTCTTTACCTTGACACCACTTCTTTTCCTTTCTTCATTATCTGTCCTCCTGCATATGTCTACATTTAATAAGACTTGCTGGACACTGGTCTTTCTTACTTGTATGTAGTAGTTTCTGATGATAGATTTTTTGTCTTTTCACAGGTAGGCCTCTTTGTGGATTTCTTTGTACGACTCTTTACCCAGCTCAAGTTCCAGATAGTACAAAACTGTATCTTTTTTGGARTATGTAACTGCTTGTTGGACTCCAGTGATCTCTTCCTTTCTAATACCATACTTTTGCTTGGGCAAGGTGACCCTTTTAGAGATTTCTGCTGTCAATTAGCTTGTAGGTTAATTAAGTTCTTTACTTAAGAATGCACAAATTATGATGGCTCTAGTGTCAACTAGAAAAGGCTGGTCCTTGAAAGTGATGAATGCATTCACACAGAATCACAGAATGGTTGAGGTTGGAAGGGACCTCTGGAGATCATCTAGTCCTACCCCCCTGTTCAAGCAGGGACACCTAGAGCATGTGGCACAGGGTCTTTCCCTTGCTTGTAATTCACTTGGGAGCTCTGAAAACAAAACCTGGCTTTTGGATGGGTCGTGTCAGGTGCCCTGGCAAGAAATGCAGACTTAGCTCCTGAGGTCACTGGGATCTCTAAACAGTAGCGGGTGCTTGTGTGTTGGCGCCGGGGAGCTCTGTTGTGTTCCTTGACCCTTCCTGCAGCGGTGGAGGAATGCACTGAGAAAGGGTGTCTCGCCCTGTCGCTGCTGGAGCTGCTGGGGTTCAACCTGACCTTTGTCTTTCTTGCTAGTCTTCTGGTCCTGATCCAGGTAAGAATGAGGTCCACTGCTTCTGCTTAAACAGCCGCACTTCGCTGTCTCACAGAGCTGACCTGTGAGGTTTGCTTGCTTGCCTGAAGTGCACTCTGCCCCAAATTCTCAAGCAAATTTTCCAGTACTAGTAAATTGTATTATGCTTAGCTAGGCATTGTCTCTTGGTGCCTTGCTGTGCTTGCTGGCAAAGGATTGCCAGGCAACTGTGATGTTGATGCAACTTAGTGTCAGTGTTTTCTCTCTGCAGCCTGTGGCAGCTGGATCAGGAATCCCTGAGATTAAGTGCTACTTGAATGGAGTAAAGGTTCCAGGGGTTGTGCGTCTCCGGACAGTGGTGTGCAAGGCTATGGGAGTGCTCTTCAGTGTCGCAGGAGGTAAGAAGGGCCATGGTGACTTGATCTTGCTGGGATAGGGAGTTGTTAACACTGGGAAGTTCTGGCTGTGCTGTCCGTAGGGCACAGAAGGCTTCTCCTGCCTTTCTAGTGAAGTGACTTTGATCGACTGGAACCTAGTCACGACCCCTGAATGCACATACTGAGTGGAAAATAGTCCCGACCCTTCTGTCTGTCTGGGGAATGAGCACATTTCTAGATGAGCTAGTCAGAAGTGTCCGAGCAGGAGGCCTAAGGTGTGACCTCCAGRATATATTATCTAGAGCACTCTTAAGGAGGCTGTTCAAAGTTATGCTTGTTCAAAGTTAGGGCCCCTGTCATGGCTTACGAGTGGTGAGCGAATCTCTAGATTGAGACTGGGAGAGGGGAGCAAGAGAGGGCTAAAATGTGCTGCCTCATCAACYGTGTTTTTCCAGGTCTCTTTGTGGGGAAGGAGGGTCCAATGATCCACAGTGGTGCTGTCGTGGGTGCTGGTTTACCACAGGTTAGTGCTGGCTTGGGGCTATAGGCTTGGTGAGGTGGAGAAGCCTTGTTTCCCTTCTCTGTCTCCTGACTGAAATATGGTGTTGGGCTGGAATGTCTCTTGTCTCAAGAGCTTTATCTTGCGTTTATTTGATCCCAGGAATATGGGAAAAGGGGGGTGCTTTGGTAGACAAGAGTTGTCATCTTTTTTTTTGTTGTTGTTGTTGATGGTTTGTTTTCCTGATACCTTTACTCTGTTTGCAGTTTCAGAGCATCTCTTTGAGGAAGATCCAGCTTAACTTTCCCTATTTCCGCAGTGACAGGTACTGTACCCAAGAAATACAGCAGGAAGGGAAAGGAAAATGAAAGAGTAGACTTTCCTGTGAGGAAGGCAGTTGGTTTTCTAGTTTCTCTAGTGTTCCTGCCTGCAGTCTCATGCTTCAGCAAAGTAGTTTYAGGGCATGTAACCTGAGTCTTCGATGCTGCCCTTAATGGATCCCTGGTCTTCTTATTTATTTTATTCTCTTGTACTGTCCCCCAAAATCCTCCCTGTTTAAAACCTTCAGTCTGAAGTGTTAGTGGTTTCACTGTAGGGCTCAAACTAGTTTGTGCACTCCTTAGGACAAGGACTCCAGAGAAGATTAGTCTACCTGATTCTGAACAAACTTTTGCCCTTCCCTTCAGTATGTTGCTCATTCAAGTGATGGTGGAAGGGTTGGAGTTATTCTCCTGTACTGAGCAGTCACATAATATTTCAATGCTTTGTTCTGTGTTGGTGCTCTGGAAGAAGAGAACAATGCTGCAATGACTGCTCAGTAAATGGTGTTGCCTGCCATGGCCAGCACCWCTCCCAGCTGCCACTCATGTATCCCTGGGTCATTAAATGGGAACGATTACTCGTTTTGCAAAATCTAAGCACCTCCAGAGCTTTACTTTGATAGATTGACATTAGTTTCTCCTCCTTTTTAGAGACAAAAGGGACTTTGTGTCTGCTGGAGCTGCTGCAGGGGTTGCAGCTGCCTTTGGGGCCCCAATTGGAGGCACTCTTTTCAGCTTGGAAGAAGGCTCCTCTTTCTGGAACCAGGGGCTTACATGGAAAGTGGTGAGTAATCACTGATGGTGATTTCTCTGCTTCCAGTGCCTGCTTTGCTGGCTTGATAGTGTTCTGAAAAGATACTGGATTTTATGGTGCTTTTTCTATTCCTTATGTCAAATGTCCCACAACTGTCAGAGTCAATAGAGACTTCAATTCTAACTCTTAAGCTGCGCTAGTGCTTTGTGATTAGTTTCACAGAATCACAGAATCTTAAAGGTTGGAAGGGACCTCTAGAGATCATCTAGTCCAACCTTCCTGCTCAAGCAGGCACACCTAGAGCATGTGGCACCGGGTGGCATCCAGGTGGGTTTTGAAGACCTCCATAGAGGGAGACTCCACGACCTCCCTGGGCAGCCTGTGCCAGGGCTCTGTCACCCTCACCGTAAAGAAGTTCCTCCTCACCTGGRGATGGAACCTCCTGTGTTTCACCTAGTRCCCATTGCCCCTTGTCCTATYGCTGGCCACCACTGAGAAAAGCTTGGTCCCCTCCTCCCTGCATTCTCCCTTCATGTATTTATACATGTTAATAAGATCCCCTCTCAGCCTTCTCCAAGCTGAACAGGCCCAACTCRCGCAGTCTCACCACATTCAAGAGATGTCCCAGTCCCTTAATTCTTTCCCTTTCCAATTGCAGTTTGGCATCGGTGGCAAATSACCAGCTTTCAGTGCAAGAGTAACTATGTAATATTCCTGAATTGTTGTTCAGCAGGCAGGGTCACATGTTACAGTGGACCATTCTAGTTCTGATCTTTTTTTTTTTTTTGGCATCAGGAAATATGTATTAAACCGCAGTAGGACCATTTTCATAAAGCTCCAGAAAGCTGTGAGGTTCCCTTTTCCAGCTGCAAGTCTCAGGAGCTGACTGTTTCAATCTTATATCTGGAAGYGTTCATTTCTTGCCACTTCTTATTTCCTCAGCTCTTCTGTTCCATGGCTGCCACCTTCACTTTGAATTTCTTCCGCTCTGGGATTCAGTTTGGGAGTTGGGGGTCTTTCCAGCTCCCTGGGCTGCTGAACTTTGGGGAATTTAAGGTAAATTTTAATGATGGTAAGTTTTCTCCTCTGGTCTCTTTGGTTTGGTGCTTCTTGGTTTTCTAGATACATATTTGTATTTAAATGAAGATAGTTGATACTTAGCTGCAATGTTTAGAGCATAAAACAGGAGTTTTTGGTCACTGCTGATCAAAGTCTGCTGTAGAGACAGAAGTATTGGTAAGGAATTGCAGCAACTATTCTGAGGCCTYTTTATGCTTTTGTGCCCTTAGTGCTCTGAGTCTGATAAAAAATGCCACCTYTGGACAGCTGTGGACTTGGGTTTCTTCATTCTGATGGGGATTGTAGGAGGTCTTCTTGGAGCCACCTTCAATTGCTTGAACAAGAGACTTGCAAAGTACCGTATGCGGAATGTGCATCCCAAGCCAAAGCTGGTCAGGTATTTGAGCTCCCTTGAGTTTGTGGATGCATTTCTGATCTTTGTTCCGTGTCCCAAAGCAAAAGTATGGATCTAGAAAGCCCAGTGAGAGGAGTCCGAGGGATCTATTCCTATTGAAATCACAGAATTAAGCATTCATGGAGTTTGAACAGAAGTACCAGAAAGCAAATGTTAAAAGTCCTTCTCCATTTCTGTAGTTACTCAGGTAGTGTAAAGAGAGCTGGGATCCACTTGTAGGGACTGTGGGGGGAGCTCTTTATAGCAACAGCTATTGCTCAACAAAGCAGAGCTTTATCTCCATGCACTTTTTTTCTATGCCATGGACAAACATAAATGGAAGAAATAGGTGATCCTATTATCATTTTTTTAATTAAATACACAGTTGAGTTCTRTTGGTGTCATTTAGAGAGAGGATTGTATGTAATTTTGGAAAGTAGTTTTTTTGTCTGCTATAGACAAAACTTTCTAAACAAGAAGCCTTGAGGCGATGGGAAAAAAATGTGTGTTTTGTCTACTGGGAAAGAAAAGAGATAGAGACTACATACTGTGATCTTCATGCTGTCTAGACAGGGTAGACGTTAACCTTGTAAGCATCCAGAGAACATGATTTCCATCTGTGTGAATAGCTTCATCACAGAACCCTTCCCTATGGCTTTTTATATGTGACTACTGTTTGCGCTCTGGTTAGAAATAGCTCCTCTGTGGAGCAAGCAATAAMGAGTAGAAGCAACGCGGGTCCTGCCAATCGAGTTGCCAGGACCCTCCGCTTAATAGCGTCTCTTGTTTTACATGCCAAGCAAATTCTGTTGGCTGTTTAAGCTACTTCTTCCTGTCATCTTTTCACAACTGTAACAGTGTGAAATGTCTAAGTCTGAATTCAGTGCATTTCTTCTGCTGTGTGCTTACAGAGTCTTGGAGAGCCTGCTAGTGGCACTGACTACTACAGTTGTGGTCTTTGTAGCTTCCATGGTTCTGGGGGAATGCCGGCAGATGTCTTCCACCAGTCATAGTGGCAATGGTACTCTGAGCTTGCAGGTAAGAGCTCTTACGTGAAAAGTATGTGTCCTTGTAGTATTAATCATCCTCCAGAGAGATACTGGCATAAAATGAACTTTTGACAACATACCAAAATAGAACACATACCCAGAACTTCAATGAAAGACTTCATACACAGTTGGGAGCTCAGGGTGATGATGAAAGCTGCCCTTTGTGCTTCCTATTTTGGCAAGGTAGCTCAAGCTGTGAACTGGGGAGTCCATCTGTGCAGCAGGCCCTCTATTTTCTATTCATGTTTTGAATTAAACTTCCCTCGGTGTGTGCTGAAAACCCTGCACAGAAGAGTTTCTCCCATTCTGTACTGAGGGAAAACTAGTAGGCACTGAGATAAAATTTTGCTCTTTGTGTTCTACATTAGAGTATGTCAGAGGATGTGAATTCAAGCATCAAAACTTTTTTCTGCCCAAATGAAACCTACAATGATATGGCAACGCTCTTCTTCAACCCACAGGAGTCAGCTATTCTGCAGCTCTTCCACCAGGATGGTGAGTAGCTACATGACAGTACCCATACCATGCTTAGGCTTCAGAGCTTACTCTTGCTTGAAACCATGCTGTCCTAAGAATCATAAGACTAGAACATCTTCAAGCCTTCATGGCTTTGGGAGTCGGACARTACACTAGATGAAGGCCCTATCTGGGAAGTAAGACCTATTCTTCCTCTCTTTATGCTTTCTTTTAGTGTTTTTGTGTTTGTACTGTGAGATTAGGTAGATGTTATGTGATAACAGCCTGCTATGAGCTGAGGGGTGGATGGACCAAGTTGGTAGTCTTTGACCAACAGACCTTTACTGCTTTTGACATGATTCTTCTTRTGCTGCAGGTACTTTCAGCCCAGTCACACTCTCCTTGTTCTTCCTTCTCTATTTCTTACTCTCCTGTTGGACCTACGGGATCTCTGTACCCAGTGGTCTTTTTGTGCCATCACTGCTTTGTGGGGCTGCCTTCGGACGCCTGGTCGCCAACCTCCTCAAAAGGTGCCCTGTGTGTGTGTGTGTGTTTATGATGGCGCTGCAGATGCACACTGAGCTCCCAGTTAGGTTATTCTAATCTTGGGGCTCTGTGTTTCACCTTAGCTATATTGGCTTGGATCACATCTACTCAGGAACCTTTGCACTGATTGGGGCAGCAGCCTTCCTGGGAGGAGTGGTCCGCATGACAATCAGCTTGACAGTCATCCTGATCGAATCCACCAATGAGATCACCTATGGACTCCCAATAATGATCACCCTCATGGTGAGCRCAGGGTCTTAGCTCAGGCTTCTTGCTGTCTGCTTGAAAGCTGGCTAGTCCTGACCCTCTTCCCCTCCAAAGCAGCAAGATAAGGAATCTTGCATGTGGAGCAACAGTTCAGGTGATCTTCTGTTTGCTTTGCAGGTAGCCAAATGGACAGGAGACTTTTTCAACAAAGGCATTTATGACATCCATGTGAACCTGCGAGGAGTGCCCCTTCTGGAGTGGGAAACGGAGGTGGAAATGGATAAGTAAGTTTTCTCTTCTTGGCAGGCTGTGGGTTAGTTTGTCCTAGGTTTGTCCTCAGAAAGTAATGAAGTAGTAGGAAAGACGATGCTTTTACCTCTCTGAACTTGACTGCACAAACTTCTGTGAGAGGAGTTGGATGCAATGCATGATGCCAGCAGCAGGAAAGGTATCCTAGAGCCCTTTCCGAGGAAGTGACCATCTAAGGAGCAGATCTTTGGGGTTCAGCAAGAACTTGGTGAAAATGCTGTTGCGCTGATCTTTGCTCCTTGCCTGTTTTCATGGTCTTCCCTCCTGCCTTACTTTCTCAATAGTTACGTTGTTCTAACTGGAACCTTTGTCATTGTCTGCAATGCATTGATACGTTATTATATTAAAAAAACAAGTGCTAGGACTGGAAGAGCAGAAATGATGTGAACACCAGTTCAAGGACCTGGCAGAAGTAAACCACAGCAGATTGCTTGAGGGTCTCTTTTTTAGGGACTAGTTTGTTTCCTTGCTGTTCTGTCACCAACCTTCTGCCAGTGACGTGATGCATCCTGCAGTTGTGTTTTCCTCTGTTTCTGCAGGCTGCGAGCCAGTGACATCATGGAACCCAACCTGACCTATGTGTACCCCCATACCCGGATCCAGTCCCTTGTGAGCATCCTTCGTACCACTGTCCATCATGCCTTCCCTGTAGTGACTGAGAACCGTGGCAATGAGCGGGAGTTCATGAAGGGAAATCAGCTGATAAGCAACAACATCAAATTCAAGGTAGGAAGCTGCTTGTTCAATAATTTGAAGGGTAAAGAGCTTTGGGCAGGTAGAAGGCACATTCCCGTATTATCTAGGCTTTTGGCAGTGCAGGATTGAGATGCTGCAATGCAAAATATGAGGATTGTGTTTCTTTCTGGTCTTTCATTCACATGGAAAGGCAGATACATGGACTATACTCTCAGAAGCAAAAGTTTAATAGGGCCCTAAGTAACCTCCCAAGGGCAGTGGTGGAAAAAGGATTGAATTCGGCACTGAAGTACTGAATTTGCCTTTTGAGGTCGTAATAGGTGGCTTAATATTTCTCTTTGTAGGATAGGGAAAATGATTTAATCTTTTGGGAAACTTAAAAATTGGATGAAGGTCAGGGGAATGGAAAAAGAATGCACTGGTGACATAGTCATGTTCTAGCAAAAAAGGTATTGGACTTTCTAAACTCCAGCTTATCTATCCAATGAGAGTACAGTCCTGTTTCTTCTTAAAAGTACCTGTAATAGCAGTGACTGAGAAACACCTTATTTGGTGGTATAAAACAAATCAAATAATTAAGTCTCCGTTAATAGTAGTTACACTGCTCAGTGAGTACTGAAAATTGCTYGTTGTGTCCAGAAATCTAGCATCCTTACCCGAGCAGGAGAGCAGCGCAAGAGGAGTCAGTCCATGAAATCTTACCCTTCAAGCGARTTGCGTAACATGTGTGACGACCACATAACAACAGAGGAGCCACCGGAAAAGGAGGATCTCTTGCAGCAGATGCTGGAGAGAAGGTAGTGTCTTGGAAGGGACAAATAAATGGAAATAATGTTTCTCATGATGCTTCATAGAGCTTCTGTTATCCTGTAGGTCAAAGGAAGCAGTACTAGCATCCCCATTTTTTTGCAAGAAAGGGCTCAAAAGCCRGAGCTGGTACTTGAGACACCTGTGACTGAGTCCAAGGCTGATGATGTTCAACTTGTTAGCTTTTGTACAAATGCCCATCCAGAACTATTTCTTAGAGAGGATGCAATGCCTGGGGAAATGCCCTATTATATAGAAACTGGTATTGTCTTGTCTGTCAAAGTTTGAAGGGCCTGCAAAGCCTCTAGAGAAAAGAAGCTAATGATCTGCTGCCGTAATACTAATACAACTATTGAGTTTGTTCTTTTGGGGTCTCTCCTCAAGTTCGTGCAATTTATAATGTGATGTTAAATTTATCACAGATATACCCCCTATCCCAACCTGTACCCTGACCAGTCACCCAGTGAAGAGTGGACCATGGAGGAACGTTTCAGACCTTTGACCTTCCATGGCATGATCTTGCGCTCGCAGCTCGTYACTCTCCTTGTCAGGGGAGTTTGTTACTCCGAGAGCCAGTCGGTGAGTCTTCCTGATTTGTTCTTACCGGGAGAGTGTCTGTAGCACTGACGCCAGTATGAGGATTTATGCTTGAGGCCCATTTTCTGGAAGACTGTTGCTCCCGTTGTGTTCAGTATAGATCTGACAAGAATTGGACAACAAATCCATCACTCTCTCAGCTAAACGCCTCATGTTGTTTTGAGCTTGCACTGGACTAGAAGATGAGCTGCTGCAAGTGCCTGTCCAGAAGCTGTGTGTGTGTGTGGGCGTGGAGGAGGAGATGAGGATGAGCGAGAGGAGTAGGAGGACTTGTTTGCTGTGCTGCTTGCAGCCCACTGCAGTGTTTGCAAAGATGACAGATCCGTTCAGTAGGATTTGTTTTAATTTCAGAGTGCGAGTCAGCCTCGTCTGTCCCACGCAGAGATGTTAGAGGATTATCCTCGCTATCCAGATATCCATGACCTGGACCTCACGTTGCTGAACCCTCGCATGATAGTGGTAAGAGATGTTCCGCGGTGTGGTAGTGTTTCCTGAAACATGTTTAAGACTGTCTCAAACCTTTAAATGTTTGTGTATGATAGTGGTAAGAGATGTTCCGCAGTGTGGTAGTGTTTCCTGAAACATGTTTAAGACTGTCTCAAACCTTTAAATGTTTGTGTATTCCCCCATGAACCCAGCCTGGAAATCACTTGCCATACCTGCTGTGAGATGATGTCCCACATGACTACTTTGGTTTTGGAGTAGGACTCTGACTGTCTAGTTTAGCTTCCTTAAAATTACACTTTTCCTTGAGTGAGATGGGACTTGTAGACTGATGGTATCTCTGTGGAGCTACCCACTGTGTGCTGTTAGCTCTGTCAGTGCAGGGTTGTCTTTCTCTTTTTGGTAGGAAGGTTACTGAAGTACTGAAAACGCATCTTATAAATGATGCTATAAATGATACCGTTCTTATTCTTACATAGGATGTCACACCATACATGAACCCGTCACCATTTGCTGTCTCTCCAAACACTCATGTGTCACAAGTCTTCAACCTCTTCAGGACAATGGGACTCAGACATTTGCCAGTTGTGAATGCAGTGGGAGAGGTGAGTCCTTATTTCCTTGTTGTTTGGATTGAGCAAGGAAGCAGCTATGTTTTTGTAATGATCTGCCCTTTGGGAAAGTTAAAATCRATTTTAGCATTTAGCAAGTTTTAATGGAATCAGCATGTGTTCTTGAGACCCTGAAATGTCATTGTTATTACTGTGACTTCATTAACCATTCATTATGTTGAATCCTCCTTCCTCCCAAAATGAGCAGGACTTGCTGTCTTTCTTCTGCTCTGGTTGACAGCAAATGGAGGCTCTTTCTACCTTATAACCATTGAGAGGCCTTGAACCCATTAGGGACCACTAATTTAGCTTCATATTTGACAGCTTTCTCCAAGGCCATGTGCAGGATTTTCTGTGTGTTGGAGCAGGAGGTTTTTCTGTTGGACAGGAACTTGCATTCTGTCCTTACTTGTAGGAGCTGTAAAATAAAAAATAATTCTCAAATTGTTTGTGCTTGATTCACTTTAGTCATCTCTTTGCCTTCTACAGTGCTCAGGATAGTCAGCAGGTGTCAGTAACTTCCTATAAATACAATGACAACTCATGTTTCCTTTAAGCCTGAGCAGCAAAAGAAATTTTGATGATAATAGCCATAACTGATGCATCCTGTGAGACAATATGAGTGCTTGTTTGGTGGTGTGTGGGTTTTTTTTTTGCTTTTTTTTTTGACCTGTTAGGGTTCCTAATAACAATCTCACAGAGCCTTTACTGAAAATGAGAGCTGTTGACTGGTTCCAAATTTAATACAAGATGCTCCTGCAGTACTGAATACTAGAGAGCAGCCTAGTTTTTAGCTCTTCCACGACGTAAAATCACTGAAGTGTTTCATCCACTGAAATGCTGTTTGAGAGTTCGCCCAGCAGTCTGAAATGGGGCTCTTTGGTGACCTGCCAGCTAATGATGGCCAGTGTGTGGTCAGCACTTAACGAGTTCCTAGCATCTCTATTTTGCTCTTTAAAGCTTCTGTATCTGATGTGAAATGTCTGCAGTTCTGTCAAATGGCAAACCAGATAGATAAGTCTATAGTGAAGCCATAAAACACAGTTCAATCATTTCAAATTATTTTTTTCCAAAGGGTTTAATTGCATCTTTACATTCTCTAGCAAAAGGCTTTATAGAAGAAAAAATGATTTCTTAGATAAATAGTGCTGTGTCCAAACAGAACACCAGCCATTAAGCTGTCCATTTAGGTGWAGTTAAAGCAGTGTGCATTGCCTGCTATCAAGCTGTGGGAGAGGTGGCCTTGTTTTGGTGAGATTGGAACTTGAGCTCTTTTTAACTGTTTTGGTTAAGAACTTTTTGCAGGTTCCTGCTTGCGTGTGGTGTTTTCTTTATTTGTTGCTCTYGTTGGAAAGAACAGCTTTACCATGAGTGTCTTAGTGGTGCGTCTGTGATACTGATTTGTATCTCTTTTCCTCTTTCCTTCCTCTTTAAGATTGTTGGGATAATCACTCGGCACAACCTGACCCACGAATTTCTGCAGGCAAGATTGCGACAACACTATCAGACCATTTGATGCCCCTACGTGCCCTTTGGCTACCTCCTTCTTCCAAGCCTGCACATGCGCTCGCATTCTTCTTGGGCCCACAAGGCCCAAGACTTGCCGTTGGCTTCTCACATGCATATCAAGCCTGGGAACCTGGAAAACATCTTGCTAACCAGAGAATTAGAGGAGCTGCCTGAGYCCAGAGCTGTTGACTGGTCTCAAGCACTTGGTTTGACCACTCCTAATCCATTTTTTTTTCTCTTCCTGTGCCCCAGCCATCTCCCTTCATCAGATGTTGTCCTGACATTGTACTTTCTACTGCTTTGTTTTGGGTTGGGCTACTTGAGATGGTTGGAAAAAAGGATCATATCGTTCCAGTGTATCCTGTGCAGAGAACTGCAGCATCTTTTCTCTGCCCATCTCCTCTTTGTCTCCCTTTTCCTCTTCCTCCCTTGTTCCTGCAACTGTTGCCTTATTTATGTGAGAAAGAGATTGCTGGCAAGCCAAGGCTAGGAGGAGACATGGCAGTTTGAAGTTCCAGGCTAGGTTTTATTGAGGGGAAAAAAAAAAAAAAAGCTCTTCGGAAATTCATTTCTCCTTGCTAGTGCTCCATTACCTCTATTTTTTCACCACTGTCTTGATTCCCTTCTATGACTTTCTATCTTGATAGTAGACGACTTCTGAGAGCACCTCAGTAAGTCAGGAATCCAAAATTGCAGAGCATCTCAGAAGAGAGATTCCTTTTTTTTTCCCTATTAGCTGCTACTGCTATTATGTCCCATTAGACTCTTTTAAGACACCTTGTGGCACTGCTCTGTCACTGCCCTGTCGCTCCTGCATTTCTTAGCATTTCTAACACAGAATCCTTGTACTGTTCCAGCAGTGAGAGCCAGGGACACCTTCCTGGTGGTGGCTGTGGACCAGGGAGCCCCGTTTCCTCCGAGCATAGGGAAGTGGTGGTTGCTTCCTGGAGGCATCTGTAACCGATACCCCGTCTCTGYGTTTGGCAACCTTATCTGAGTGTCCTGAGAGGAACTGGTGTCACTTCAGACTATTGTACAGGAGAAATACTTGGTGCTGGTAGCTGACAGGCAAGACTCTGCTGTGGGGTGATAAGTGAGGTTGTTTGTGGCTCTGAAAATGCTGGGAATAATGTTAGTAACTGCAACAGCCAAATGTCCGTAAGGGCAATATTAGCACTTAGAAGCCAGTTGCAGCCAGCTTGGTGCTTTAGCAGGTACCATCCTGGCGAGCACCTGTGTTGTTCCAGCGGGCACCTGCCCTTGTGAGTTTTGCATGCAGATAAACTCTGTGGGAAGGCAGCCTTGTGCCTCCGGGGGAACACAGAACCGATGGGCTTGATAAAGCACAGAGCATTCTCCCGGCCAGGAGGCTGGATGAAGTAACATGGGGAATGTATCCCAGGGATAGCTTCTCCACAGCCTCAGCATTCCTGTTAACCTGTTGCCTGCCATAAGAGGTCGAGCTAAATGAGTTATCTGTGGCAGGAGAAAGTTGGGCATTATTATATTTTCTAAATCCAGGATCCGTATTGAAGATTCTGCTGGAGGTTCTCCTGGAGAAGGTATGTTGCTAAAAAGGGCAAAAAGAAGGTAAGACCTTTCATTGTGTGCATGAAGACACTAAAGCTGTTAAACCAGCCCCTTTAACTGACTTTGAGGAAGCTGCTTGTTCCAGGGCAGTGCTCTGCAAGCTGCTGAGTGTTGAGCTCTACCACAGTTGAGACTAGGAGGAGATTTTGTGGCCAGAACAYCTACCATACTCTTGGTAGGCTTCTTTTAAGTCACTTTTCACTGTGATAAAGTTTGTGGATGCTCATGTGGTTTTTTGCAGCCCAGCTATCTGGGGAACAGGTATTTTCTCCTGCTGTGTTTATTTCAGAGCCGCAGGAGTGAGGGGATACATTTTGTCCTGCAAATGAGAGAGAACTTGGTCCTACAGGTGGTTCCTAATGCGAACATTAGTCCTTCTCATGCAGGCCATGGCACAGCTCAGATGGAAAGTATTTTTAGTAAAGCTGGTAATAAGCACTTAGTTCCTTTCCATTGACAACTGGAGGTCTTTTCTTTTGGTGTTCTTTCCTCCTTGCTTTTGTATTAAAAAGGAAAGGGTGCAGATTTCTGCTTTAAGAAATGGATATTTTAGCTTTTCTGCAAAGGAAAGGTTGAGTGCGGTCCATGTGGTGGCAATTGTTGCAAAGGAAGCTGTGTGTCCCACACAACAAATAAGATTTAACCAGTGATGAGGCTGACTCTGAACTGCTTTAAAGGGAAATGTTCCATGTGCAATCACTTGTTATGTAGCTTTCACAAAGGGAATTACTAGTTTGTATGATGTTTGAAGATGCAGCATTTCACTTCTGATTAAGGACTGGTACAAAGAGTCGTCTATTCGATCAGTCTTGTTCTTGCACTTAATCGATCGTTTAACTCCTCCTCACGGCAAACGAAGTGCTTCTGTTCTGGCTCCTCAGTGATGTACCAATAAACTTATTTCTAACACGGGTGCCTGTAACCTTTTACCTAGACCAACTCTCCGAGGTAGTAATCAAGAACTGGATTAGTACGAAGGCTAGTGGTAATATGGGGCGCTCTTCCCTGCCTCCTGGTTTCCTGTACAGTGATAATATGCAGTTTTGAATTGTTAACTTACTGTGAACCATTCCAATGGTAGCAACTTACCTTTCCATTTGTTTTTTTGCACTTTTTTTTTGTTGTTTTTTGGTTGTTATGAGATGATGTAAGCTAATTCCACTGTGTATATAAATTGTATTTTTTTTTAATTTGTATGAATATATTTTTATTTGAACTATGGCACTTGAAGCATTCATGTAACCACAACATGTCTGAGAGTAAAATGTTTGTGTGTCTCCTTCAGCACTTTCAAGGCCTTCAATGTTCCTAGTGTTGTCTTATTTTTGACCTTTGTTATAATAAAGCTGGTAGAACATGCATACATCTAAGACCATGATTTGGGGGAGATGAATGGCTGCTCTTAGAACTGTCTGGACCTAATAATATGTGCAGAAGGTACCCTGAGGCTCATACATGTAAGAATTGGTTCAGTTCTTTAGGTTATGACAACTCTAATCTGCTACTTTCTTACAACAGCTCTTTATAGGRAAGGATTAAAATGTATGATAAAGAGCTAAACTGGACACTTTGTGCTGGAGATGACTACTGCTTTTCTTACCTGGGAGTTCTTGCTTACCACTTCCTCCCCACCATACATCAATAAAAGACATTTGAGTGCAGTGTTACACCCCTTGTTTTACAGGTGACTTGTCTGAGGTGTGAAAAATCTTCATTTCATCATTAGCCTTTATTAAGCTGGTGTGAGCGGTTTTCCTCCTTTCTCTAGTTACCTTACACGAAAACTTGTGACAATTTTCATTGCTCTACCAGTTTCTTAGGGGCCAAAGGTATGAGTAAGTATAATCTTGGAGCCCCGGCGGGGACTGAAAAGCTCACTGCTTTTCACTACCTGTTTATCAAGTAGTTTTGTTGCCCTAAATGCTCGGAGTTGCTCCCTGGTGCACTCTAAGCTGCAGTCAATCAGCAGCTTTCGTGTAGCTTCTGCCCTTAGCCTCATCTTTGATGTGTATGTGATGGCAGCAAGAGTTGGAAAGGGATTTGAGAGGCGAGGGCAGAGGCTGGGGTTGGGAGCTAGATCAGAGGTGCGTGGTCCAGTTTAAGCTTTGCTCCTAGCAAGGGCAGGAAGCAAACACAGACCTTCGTAGACTTCACAGGCATAAATTGGGCGGTTCAGGAGCGGGTGAGAGCAGCTGCTGCTTTAACACACTACAAAATAAAGGAAAAAAAAAMCTATTTGTATTTTGTCTACCTTGTTTCCATGAATAGAAAAATGAAATGGGCAGAGCGGCAGGGTAGKCAGGCCACCCTCCAGGCCACAGCAGTTCTGTGTGATGGTGACCTACCAAGGCACACCAACCAAGTATACCTACACAGAGCTAGAGCCTTTGTTGGATTTAGGACAAATTTAGGCCTTGGGTGTCAAGACGGTATGCAAGATTTTTGTTTTGTTTTGTTTTATTTTATTTTATTTATTATTTTATTTTATTTTATTTTATTTTATTTTAGCGGTTAAGCTTCTTGCCAAAGAAGAAGGGCGCCAAAATAATTGCTAGTAGCTGTTTGCCAGTAGCGTTTTTATGTTGGGTGATAGAGGTGGTTATTAGAAAAACTGTAATACATTTATGCTTAAAGCAACCAACTTGTTCAGATTAAAATCCCTTTCCACTGAGGTTTATAGGCTCATTAAACCCAACCATATGTCATGACCCTAGTCCCTGTAAATTATGCAATTGACAGAAGAGTTTGGTGCTGTTCAGGGAGGGGTTTTGTTCTCTCTCTCTCTCTCTCTCTCTCTTTCTCTCTCTCTCTCTCTCTCTCTCTCTCTCTCTCTCTCTCTCTTTGTGGCAACATGCACGCTGCCACCGTTAGCACAGGTGCCTACCTGTACAAGTGTGTGTGTGACACCAGCCAGGGAGGAACCTGAGCCTGCGTTTGCTGCGAGACCGACACTGAACCTCCTCTTCTTGTCCAAGGTGCTGAAATGTCTTTTAGCCGCAGCGAGCTGCACTCAGCCTCTTCTCGCAGCCAGCACTCCTCTGTCCACTGCAGCTTTTAAACAACAGTGCTTTGAAGAGTTTATTCATGCCTGGAGTGAATCCACTGCATTCCGTTGCTTGCTGGGGTAAAGGAGCAGAGGTGGGAGGCAAGAGGTTGCCTTTTAGAGCTATTTGTCCTTAGCGGCTGTCACTGGGGTGATGGGGATTCACTGGCTGCAGCAGGCAATGACAGCACAGGGACATGTGCTGCAAGGTGCGTTTCTGCTGATTTGTTTCRAGAGATTTCACACTTCAATGGTGTGAGAAAAGCACCAGAAAAGGTTCCCCTTCCTTTATCTCACAGTGATGCCTCTCGACTCCCGTTTCTAAATTGTGGAAATCACAAGGCCAATGTTTGGCAACTGCAYACCAACCCTCCAGTGTGAGCTGTACCTTGGGTAGGCATGGGAGACGCACAGGGAAAGGCTGCATAGGAGACTTGTCAGCGAGTCTTCCATTAAAGTCAAGGTTTTTCTTTGTTTCAGATGATATGACCAGATTGCTGGTAGCCTTTGTCTCTAGGCATGGCCCTGCTGTGTTGTGGTCTGTAAAAAGTTGCTGCCTGAGCTGACTGGAACACTGTCATCAACAGGTATCTATCAGCAAAGGGTTTGGGGAGCCAAGGTTCAGTGGATGTAAATCAAGAAAACTRGTAAGACCAGATTGTTACGCACAGTGGCACAGCTTAGCTCTTTTTTGCACGTGCCCTGTGTTTCACATACGTTTTCTTAGAGAAACAAAGCGGTAGTAACCGCTGGAAGCGGTTAGGGAGAAGGTAGTCTGGCATTGCAGGGGGTGGCGAGTGGCATTAGAGCAGGAGGGAGGGTGCTCGGCTGCTCTGTCTCTCAGGTCTCACTGGGATATTTCTTCTTTTGCACAATGAGCCTGAGAGCCCTTGAATACATCCTAGATACTGCACTGGGGGAAGGACTGATTGAAGTTTATAAAACAGTTTGATGCTTGATGAAGAGGAGGATGGGATTTCAGGATCCTGCCCCATGCTCAATACTGAACCTAATCCTTTGAAACCTAATCCTCATTAACTGTTTTTGATATCAGCTCTTGTTCTGCAGCAGTATCTTTGTCCCAAAGGCTGCATTTAGGCTGATTCCGAGTTGTTTACAGTGCCAGGCTCTGCTGATTCCCAGTCTCAGGGCTGACTCACAACACTTTCTGTGCTAGTTTCTAGAAAAAATGTTCTGAAGTGCTTGTTGGGCTGCCAACCTTTTTCCTATACTGTTACTGACAATCATGTGTTACTGGCACCCTTGTCTTCCCCTAGAGGAGCTTGAGATGGAAGACTTGAAATGTATCTTGGAGAGGTGTGAAGATTTACTAGGAATGCATTCATCTTTAGTTCTTTACCCTCTGGAGAGTCTGGTGCTGCTTATTTCTCATCAAGCCTGTGTTTTCCTCTGACAAATTCTTTTGGAATTGCTTTCAAAAACTGACAGGTACAAAAGGCAGATTCACCATCATTCTGAGGGAAAATGATTCACATTTAGATGTTGGTCTGTGCAAAAGTGGCTGCTGCCAGAGGAAAGCTTGGCTTAATTAAAAGGAGTATCTGCATCCGTTGGTGGGCAGAATGCGTCACTGTGCAAATCCCCTGCAGCGACAGGGGGGCAGCAAAAGGGGGAAACCTCCATTAGGTGTCTGCTCTCATCTAAACAGAAGGTGAAGGCAGCGGAGAGGGTTTAGCACCTGATATGGAAAAAGTGACTGGGGAGCAACAAGCCCTTCCTCTGAGTAGCAGAGCCATAAACACAGGTCCACGTCACAGTGAGGTGAGCACGAGCATAAGCCTATAAAGCTCCTCTCGCTTTGGGGTAACTGCTCGTGCCTCTGTCCTTCTCCTGTTGTCCGTCTGTTGCCTTTCAGGGAAGAACAGGGCTCTGGCATTGGCCGTTGATACTGATGGGTCAGAGCTCTTCCTGCCTTTGTAACAGCAGTGCTAGCTTTGCATGTCCTTGGGGATGATGCTCTTTGCCTGGAGAGATCATCAGTGCTAAGGTTTTGTCCTTCAGCTTTCCCAAATACTGTTATCTGTGTGTTGTCCTATTCTGACCTCGCTGTGAGTTTTCTCTGGGGAGGGTTTATAATTTGGTGTCTGTGGGAGCAGCAGTAAAAACTCAGTCACAGAGATGCTTTTTTCCTAGATTCCTACTTGCAGTTAGGTTCTCTGAGACCTCAGGGTCTATTAACATACTGCCTACAAGCCAATACAGACTTGTTCCACCGAGAACTGGCTTGCTGTTAATACTGCCCCACCTGGCTTTGGATCAGGCAGTGCCAACTCTTTTTGCCCTTTTTAGCACATTCCACTGAACACTTTAGTGTTTTGTGCCTTGAGGGGCAGACAAGGAGGAGCAATTTACAGGGCCTTGGTGTGTCTGCACTAGTTTTGCTTGGCTGGGTGAAATGCAGCAAGGATTGTTGTTAGAGCATAAAGATTCATTTTACTTTCCTCTGTAGCAGCAGTCAGGCTGTAGCTGAGTGCTGGCGGAGGGATCCAGCTGCCCATTCCCRTCTTGCTGCAGTAGAAACAGAGGACTGCAGGGGTGCATCTGGAAAGCCCATTTGAGAAGTCTTGTGGYTCTAACAGTGCCTCCCCAAAGAGTCAATTAGAGTAGCTGCAAGCCTCTCAATCCATGAAATGCCTCTGAGTAAGTGCAAAGCCATCTTCACTGCAGGGCCTTCTCATGACAGCTACTGGGAGATGCCTTTCTGACCTGGGAATTATTTCCTGTGCCAGGGAACTGTGCAGCTGTACAACTGGGAACATCRTCACAACACCCCAGTATCTAATGGTATGAGAATTTATGGGGATGCTTGTGCCGATCCCGGACTCCACGACAGTGATTTGGGTAACTTGAAAATCCGAGCTCTTTGACTCTTTGGGTGCTACTTGAATCTGGCCTTGGCAATATAACCATCTAGAATTACTTTGGAAGGGACCATTGCTAGAAAGTGATAAACATTCTGTACAACCTGCTTTGTCCCTGGGGTGATCCCACCTGCCTTCATGGGCAGAATCATTGGGATAAGATTCCAGCCCTCCAAGGATCCCTCGGGAAGCGCTAGGGATCGGCGTCCCAGCCACATGCACAGTGAGACAAGACACAGTTGAGGATGTATCTTTCTGTTGATGCTCATAGCTTTTATTTGGTCAGTGCTAGGAAGCATATACAATGAATTCCCTTTCCTCCCTCTCGTTATCTTGTAACTTTTGTAGTTTTGTGATTTTTTTTTCAGATAACTTTTGTCTCTATATGATGGATTTACTGTAGTGGARTGACGGTTCTTCACTGAATAATCTATATGAGCAAAAGGATTCTCTTGTTACTGAAACCCTGTCCATAGCAGGGCCCGTGCACTTCCAAGGTTGGTTTTYTTTTTCCTTCTGCTAATCTGCTAAAATTTTCTAGAGTGGAAAATTCTAGTGAAAAACTAATTCTTGTTTTTCCCTACTTCATACTTTTTCAGTCTTGTGGGCGCCAGCATACCAATAAAACACAGGCTTTTGACTTTAGAAAAATATGTGAAGGTTTAATGTAACAGACAGGAGAGAAGTTCAGCATACATATCTAATGTGTTAGTTTTATTTAAAGATGGTCTCTTGGTGCTAGAGTAAGAAATGTTCTTTAAAAAACTTCAAATAAATAAATAAATAAATAAATAAAAATAAGAATAACTTTCCATCGAAGAGTTTAGAAAGTTTCTGGCTTTCATGGTGGGAGGAACGGATACTGTAAAGCAGTCTTCATAGCACGGGGTGGCGAGGTTTTCCTAATTCTTCCTGGAACCTGCAAGCCAAACATGAAATAGATGTTACTGGAGTCTAGTTACCTGTTGGCATAAGCCATCACTTCCTGCAGTGCTTTTGCCTATCAAAAGACCCAGAATTTCTTTTGAAAAAAACCACAACAAGCCTAAATATTTGACTAAAACGAACTCCTTCCTTTCCTCTATTGTTCTTACTACAGAAAACATAAATGAGAGCCTGCACCTTTCTTGTTGTATAATACTGATGCAGCTCTTCCTGCTGTTCGATGAAATGCTTAGGCGGACTCACCGTTGCAACCCATTCCACTCAGGGAACCAATTCTGTCAATTCTTCTCCCAAAGCAGCCAGAATCTCTCATCATCCTGGGCATCTGCAGCCCCCTCATTCTCTTAAGGAAGGGGTTCCTGTAGGATAGAGGGGTGCTAGGTGCTAGTCTGGATTCAATCTTCTGGTCATCACTGTCATCTCCAAATTCTGGTGGGATCTCCTCTTGGGTTTTGGGCTCTTGCAGATCAGGATTGGACTCCAGGGCTTCAATCATTGCAAATTTATCCTCCAGTTTCTCCAAAAGAGCCTGTAAGAGATAGACTAATTTCATGAAAAAACTAGTTTCATGATCACTARCTAACTCTTCCCTTCATCCAAATCTACATTCCTCTATGGTCCTACAGTCACTGTGAAGGAGACTGTCGAGATTGTCAGGTGATGCTCTGTCCTCTGTCCCCATTCCCATTAATTCCACCGAAAGGTAGTTCTTGCTGATAGCCGATTGAAGCTCTCTGTCACAGAAGTACAGCTTAGTAATAAAGCTAGAAACTCTTAATGGACACAGAGCATGGGGAAGTATGTCACTCAATTCCACCTGGGTTACAWGAACCCAAAGAACTTCTGACTCCATAGGCACTCTCATGACTTGAGTAGACTTCACAGGGAGAACCTTGCAAGGTTTCCACTGACTTTTATCTGGAAACCGCAAGGTTACTACTCCTTAAAGTAGTATTGAGTCTCCATGAAAATACCTGCAGGCAAAATTCTTGGCTTCTCACTTTCTCCTGGGYATCATACTCTGTAACTTTCAAAACTTTGAATAATAGGGATCAGAAAAACCTCCTCAAGGGCAGTTCAACTAATTAGACAAATTTAATTGTTCATCACCATAAATAAAGTAAAGATAGAGCTATGTGGAGCCATGGTCTTTGGCTGCTGCTGTCCTGATCACGTAACAGAGTTTGTTGTGTGGGTTTGATCCTGAAGTAAACTGGTCATTGGTACTAGTCAAAGGAAACACTTAAGCTGTCAGCCCTGTGCTTCCTTTGCTCCCTAGCCTGCTKTAACAATAGATTTTCTCAGACTATATTCATTAAAATATGCATGTGTTAATTAATTGCATTACTCTGTGATCAGGCTCACACTGCCTGATCATAACTGGTCCTCTCAATTTGATTCATAATACTGCACTTTCTCAAATTTTGACCTTGGATGCTCCTCCTCATCTCCCATCCGCATACATCTAGTGCTCTTAAATCCACGAAGCAAGTACCATGTGCCTGTCCTTCTCCACTGCACCTGCCATTCAGTGGGATAAAGAAGTGGAGCGAGTGTAAAAGTTCCCTATTTATTTATTCTTACAGAGCAATTATGCAATTATCTTCCATTGATTTGTGTCCTCCCTGAGGCTTTGCTCTATTGCTACAATGAACCTTACGKATTACTTCTTTTTCTCTTTTTTTAATATCAACCAGCTCAAGCACATATGCAACAACAGCACCAGAATTATGTTTCTTGCTGCTACCCAGGACTTCTGGTGAGCCCTGCTTTGGGGGTTCTTACTCTTTAAACATTCTTAGAGCGCCGTTGTTGAAGGGAGATGGCTGGGTCACTTTGTCCCCTAGGCATCTCTGATCAGTGGTGTGGCCATTTGATGGTACAGAGAAAGGCAAAGACACCACCTCACATTCTGCTAAGCCCCACAAAAGTTGAAGTGCAAAAACAAAGCGTTCTTACCTCCATGCTGGCCAGTTCTTTGGCAGGGCTAAGGCTGTAGATAGGGTTGGCTCTGCTGGACTGGAACTGGATGAGAAGCAGCAAGAGGAAGCCACAGGAGAATGAGCCTTTAGTGTCCATGGCGCTGAGCTCGTTGGGAGCAGGGGAAGTTCAGGCTGCTCCTTCTTAGATGTCTCTTCAGGTCTCTCTCTTCCTTGTCCTAGCCTCTCTCTTCCGAAGCCTGTCTTTTATACTCTTTGGGTGTGATCTCTGCTTCCTGCGTTATCAGTGGATTTATCTGGGACACATTCCGGTCCCACTGCAGGCATGCAGCTCTGTCAAGGGAAGATTCCCTTTATTAGCTGTCATTAGGCAGCAGCTGCTGTTGCTGAGGAATGTATGTCACAAGTCAGTGATTTCATGTCACTCCCCCTTCTCTTGATACCAGGCGCTGTGATTACATAGTCCAGTTGGAAATTCTTAGCAGTTTTGTCTCAAGAGACCCCTATGGTAAGATTCACGGAGATGGGAAATAACCCTGAAACTGCTCTAAACTCTGCTCAAGTTGAAGCTTTCCATTGGGAAATTACCTTTTATAGGTAGGGAAAGCAAGAAGCTTTCAGATGAGCATTTGGGGAAGGATAAAGGCTGAAGATAAATCTACTTTTAGGATACCTATTGTGCACTCTTTCTTCTATATATGGAATACGCGTAGCCACCACATACCTTGAAGTGTGCTGAAAACCCCAGATTTGGGCCACTTCTCTTTACTAGTTGCTGTAGAGGAGATCTCACCGTTGAGACGTGGTATTTGTGTGTTGCCAACAACAGAGGGCCCCAGGCTGCCCCTCATTGCAGATGATAACTTCTAGACCGATTCTGCGGGGACATCAAGTGCCGCCAGCCCCCTTGACTACTGACCTCGACACCAAGGAACAACACCAGCCTTTATTAACAGCTAATTGTTTTAATTAGTGRGGTTTTGTTTGTTTGTTCATGTTTAATTTTGATGGTAGAGCTTAATGCTCCGTTAATACAATTTTGAAAAAGAGAAGGGCAGATTCAGGAGTAGGTTCTGTGTTAGATTCTACTAGCGTCGTACCAGGATACAGCTTGCTCAGTGAGAATTTACCCAGCTTTATTTAGATGACTTGCAGCTTTACTCAGCAAAGGTGTCAGAATTTCACCCCAAGGAAGAATGTGTGAGTTTGTGGGGGTTTTGGGAGGGGTTAAATGAAATGTTTAGTTGATATTTTGTCTAAACGTGTTTCTTTGTTTCTTGTCATCTTTGCTAAAATTTGCCTGTGTTTGAATGAGAAACCAAAARAAAAGCAGTTCTGTTGCAAAGTATTTTTCTAGCATTGTCTTTATGCAACTAAAATTTCCTCCTTTTCCCAGAACTGCAAGAGAGTTCTGAATTATGAAGCATATTATTTATTTTGTATTTTTGATGGACTTTGTGTTATTTGGAATTGAAAAAAAGAATGAATACATGAAGAAGCTGAGTATGTTAGTCAGGTAGTAAATTGTTGTTTTTTAATATGAATATAGATCTTGAAAAGAATCTCCTGAGCACAATTTCTAAATATGAATAGAACTAGAAAATATTTTTCACGTCTTAGATATCTTAACATGGTGTTTGTGTAAAAATGTGCACTCACTGTTCACATGATCGACCTACCAAAATCATACTAGAAAAGACATTCTCAAGGTTGCGAAGTGAAGCCCAAATACTACTTTTCCCTTTGTTCAAATTATGGTTAAGACAGAATTAAGATCCTATTTTTTTTTTTTTCATCGACTCTTCCTACCTCAGTATCTGAAAAATTCACTACTTCATTATTAATATTTTCTTACTGGTCTCCTTAGGTGTGTATCTATGTGTTTGTTCAAGGAGTTACGTTCACGTTCTGTAAAATGAGACAGGGTGAGAAGAGAATCTGGAAGCCCGTATTTGTGCTGAATGCTCACTTTAAGATAAGTGAGATCTGCTTTTGTTTTAGCTTTTGTTTCTTTCCTCTCAACTCCTGGCCAGCCTGCCGTGCATTCTGCAGTGCTGCCTCTGCAAAATCGCTCCGTCTCTTCATCTGAGTTTTGCCCGAAAGTTCAGCACATCTGCAGAGCAACTGCCCCAGGCTGAGATCCTGCACCGAGAAACTGAGGAACACAACATATTGACGGCTGCGAAAAATTTAGCTCTCGGAGTCCTGCCTTCTCTCTCTTCTCAGGCTGGTGCTGCAGCACAGCCCAGCGCCCCGGCATGACATTCAATACCTTTGAACCAGAGGCCCCCCTTTCTTTTATTGCTTTGTTCACTTTGCATCTTCTGTATTCCACAGAAGATCTTCTGTATTCCATTCCTATATCCATCTTCTGTATTCCATTCCTATATACATTCCACAGCATGTATATAGGATGTAGGGCCGGACTTCACACTGACAGTAATTTTCTACAGTGGAGGGATTTCTCTGCACTCTCTCGTATGGGATGTGTGTAAGTACATAGATGGGCTATAAAGGCAGACTACTGCAGGAGCTGTTGTATTTACAAAGCCAAATCCTGCTCTCTATTACCCATCCCACTGCCCCGCTAACACAAGTGGAGTGTAAAATGGCACAACTCAGCTGGTCATCATCAAAAATATAAGGCTCATAGAATCATAGAGTCATAGAATCCTTAAGGTTGGAAGGAACCTCTAGAGATCATCTAGTGCAACCCCCTGCACACGCAGGGTCACCCAGAGCACGGGGCACAGGGCTGCGGCCAAGTGGGTTTGAAACATCTCCAGAGAAGGAGACTCCACAAGCTCTCTGGGCAGCCTGTGCCAGGSCTCTGGCACYCTCACTSTCTAGAAATGTTTCCTTAAGCTCCTGTGGAACTTTTGGTGCCTCAGCTTGTGGCCGTTTCCTCTAGTCCTGTCGCTGGCCACCACTGAAAAGAGGCCGCCCCCTCCTCCTCACTGCCTCCCTTGAGGTATTTACAGACCCTGATCAGGTCCCCCCTCAGCCTTCTCTTCTCCAGGCTGAACAGGCCCAGCTCTCCCAGCCTTTGCTCACAGGGCCGGTGCTGCAGTGGTGCCAGGTGGTGGCCGTGATCGTATAGTGGTCAGTACTCTGCGCTGTGGCCGCAGCAACCTCGGTTCGAATCCGAGTCACGGCAGGAAGGGCTCCCTTTCTTGTTTGTCCTCTGAAGTGGGTTTCAGGCTTTAAGATACAGCTCTGCAGGGACAAGACCAAGGCATTGTCTGTACTCTGCTGGGCATTTGTCAGGTGAAAAATAAAATAAAAGATTCAGCTGTTACAGCTCCCCTAACTGATGTCCCTACCTGCTGCACATCTCGTCAGTGATATCCCTTTTGCTGTTACATGTAAATGTACTGGTACATGTTAATGTACTCCTGCATTTTGTAACTGGAGACTGCGGGAGTGTGAGCTGTGTGGGGGACAAAAGGAATATGTGATTATGTGCAATGCATTGCATGCAGCACCGAGATCAGAGCAGGCCATACTGCTCTGATGCCTCACTTTTTGCATGGAGGAGGAATCTTAATTTCATCCCAAACATGGATCACTTCTCTCGCTCACTGGGGTAGAGGACCGTCCCCAGCTGCRTAGGCCCTGCCTCTCCAAAGTCCTTCAGAGCGAGGTGTTTGAAAAGGCCTTTTGCCTTTCTGCCTGCTTAGGGCTCTTGGTGCTTCATAGTGCTGTCTTGGGACATTGGAGCTGGGTTCACAGCACCGCATATTCCGCAGTGTTCTGTGATACAGAGGCAAGGACTGACTTGGTGCTAAATGTAGGCAGAAGAAGAGGGATGCTGAAGCCAGCTGGCACCTCCTTCACTAAGAAGTGCTCGTGCGAGTTGAGCTGGGCAAGGCAAATGGGGCTTGGCTACGCTCCACAGCAGGGAGCATGGGGAGGAGATCGCCCTCCTCCYGTCGGGGCCTGGCGGGCTCCCCAAGGTGCGGGGCCCAGATCAGCTGCAGCAGCCGTGGGACTGCAGCAGTGCCCGCGCTGCCCTGCCCAGCGCTGGCTGGCGTCTGTCCCGGGTCCTGAACCGCCTCTCGGAAAGCGGGAACCTTTGCAGTGGTCGGTGCCAAATTTATTTTTAAACCCACGTAGCTCTTCTGTCTTTCATGCCAGTAGCAGGCCACTGATCCCAGTGACTTAACCCATGTGTAGGACACAACTGTGGGCCATTCACCAACCCACTATTTCTTCGGAACCCATCACTGGTCTTAGACCTGCCCAGTGCCCATTTACCAGGAGGAATCACAACTAGCAAGGGCCAGGCCCCCAGGGAAGGCAGGTGTGTCAGTACCTGACAGTGCCCCTTTCCCTGATACAGGCTGGTCCCAGTCGCAGCGGGATGCTCTGTCCTTGCTGCAGCTGCAGCCTGGCTAGACCTGTCAGGATACTTTGCCCTGTATCGGGACCAAGTCTTTAAGGCAGAGGAGCAGAGCTCTGGAGAAGCTCTGTGTAGTGTGTGCTCGCGCTGTGTTGCTGGCCAGAAAAGACTTGCAAAAAAAGCAGGCTTTGTACAAAGAGTTTATTGGTGCATGTCCAGTGCCCACAGAGGTTATAGGGTATCCTAGCTTTCCTGCAGCAGCAGCCCAGATGCCTGGTGGCCGGACACTGCTGCCCACTTTGGCCCAAGGTGCAGAAGACGCTTCAGGGTTGGCATCAGGTTCGGCTTCTTCCTCTCCTCCAGAAACCTGGGGCAAAAGGACAGAGAGCTGCTTGGAGAGCTGCTTTCAGATGGGAACGGCAGCTGCTCTCGTGCTTCCCAGTCCCCGTGCCTTGGTGCACAGAGGTCCAGCACCTGCCCCAGCCTCCCACTGCTGCCCCGCGCTGCAGGGAGCCGCTGGGTCTGACGAGGACCTACGGGCTTTGTAGTGGTTGCATCYGAGTCCCGTTTGAGCGCCGATCCTCTCCATCCTGGTGCCAAAGCAGCCCGAGAAGGGCCTCCGCCTGTAGGAGGAGAGGAGGCTCCTCCACCAGCTCTGCCCCTCTGCCGGCTGGGGAGGGCTGGGGCCGGGCCGTGGGGCAGCCTGCGAGCTGCTCTCTGGTCCCAGCACATCCCACTCAGCACCGCCGGCCTCAGCCCCAGCCTCTGGCTCCTCTTCCAGGCCGGGGAGTCCGTCCTCCTCACCCTGGAGCTGCTGCAGCGCCTCGAGGAGCTCCTGCAGAGGGAAGGAGAGAGGAGGCAGGGCACCGTGGGCACGAGGAGCCTCTCGTTAGTCCCCACTGGCCTGGGTGTGGGTGGCCCAGCCCCAGCGCCCCAGCCCTGGTACCTGCAGGGACTGCAGCTCCGCGCTGTGCTCGCCGCCGGCCGCTTGTGCCCCGGCCTGTGGCAGGACGAGCAGCAGCAGTGAGACCCCGCAGCACAGAGCCGGGAGCCGCATCCTGTTTGATCCCACCTTAGCCGATCCTGTCATAACCTACTCGTCCCCACGTCACTGCTGTGCCCACGGACGCCTCTCCTTATATCCCCACTCTCCGCCCCAAGGGAACTTGGCTGCCTCCAGCCAGATTCCCCCAGGAGCCGGAGCACCACGCTCTGGCCTCAGCCCTGATAAGGGAACTGGTTACAACTGGCCCCACAGGTAAGGTTGCAGGAGTGTGGGGGGGTCCACTGAACCCAGCAGCTCCTCTGGGGGAGGAACCTGGCTCCAGTCATCTCCTCTCCTCCTACAAACTCATTTCCCCAGAGGTTTCCTGCCATTCCACCATGCTCCATCCCTGGGAAGGTAGGAGCTCACACAGTGCAATGTTCCTTCACTTTCTGCCTGTTTGCTGTCCCGCACATGCACRGGTCCCTGGGAGCTGTGCGCTGGCACACAATCTGATTTTCCCTCTGAGGGGATGCAGAATAGATCATTTGTTCCCTGTAGGATAGGGAAAGAGGAAGCCGGGAGAGGAGGAAATTCTGYTTTATCTGCAGCAGGCCCCAACAGCTTTTGCTTCTTCATGTACATCTTGCTGCTACATGAATAGATCAAGTCCTGAGATTTGGTTTTAGGAGATTTTCTTTCAGGCAAGTCTGCCTTGTGCAACGGTATTGCTAAACTGTCAGGTTTACAATAAAAGTTACTTGCTCCCCTGCCACTCCTTGGCTATAGGAGGGAGTGAATGTTCTGCAATCATAACCATATGCCTTCATATTATGCATAAATAATGGTGCAAATGATAGACTTAAAAATTCCTATGAATTCTTAAGGGAAAAAATTTCTTTCCAGAAAAAACAGGGATCTGGCTCAAAGAAGGTAATTAGTGGATATTTGGATTTCAGCATCCCAGACAAAAGTGTTGGAATAACCAGTCTGCTTCAGTAACAGGCAGCGTATTTGTATGAAACTTTCTCCTATTTTGCCTCAGAGCTGTACAGCTGTATCTCATCAACTCATCTGGCAAAACATTGGCTTCTCTTCTGTGAATGACCAATTTCAAGTATAAATGAGTGCAATTTCCACTGGTCCTGGGGTGCAAATCAGGATAGTCCTGTTCGACTTTACAGAACAAAAGGCAAAGCAGCAGACAAGGTCTTTTCAATCACCAGATTAGAACAATTACACTCTGTCTCTGCTCCCTGTCTTCCTAGCTTGACAGCCAGTATGCCTATAAATCTCTCTGTTTTCACTAGATACGCACTGATTTCTGCTGTCTATCCCAGAACCTGCGCTTTGGTTCAACAAACCTAAGAAAGTTCTTTTTTTTTTTTTCCTCTGAGTTCAGAAAGTTTTGAACATAGCTGTCACGGTTCTTTATTAACAAACAGCAACATGTGTTATGCTGTTAAATCTCCTTTCTCCATGTTGTGTTCCACAAATCTCCATCCAGCTGATATCATTTCTCTTAGACTGGAAGCAAACCAGTAATATTAGGCAGTATTTCTGTACCATCAGTCAAAAGTGGGCAAGGTTTTTTTTTTGTTCAAACCATCATAATGAACAAAAAATCAAGGAATGATCCAATAGAGAAAAATGAGACATGYTTTGAATGCCCAGTGCATGGAGGAAGGAGGTTAGAATCAGGTGGGATTTGTTTTCTTGATACAGAATGAGAGGTGTTTAACATGAGGATGTGCCTCATCCCTGATTTTGTTTGTACTGAAGATGAGTGAAAATGGAAAGGGAGGCGTATATAACTTCAGCAATGGCTAAGAGGAAAGTTTAGTCCTCTTGCAATAAGTGAGGGAGGCTGGAGAGGCCCAAACTTGATTATTCCTATCATCACTTATATACAGGTACCCTGCTTTTAGCAGGCAAGTTTGAGGGGAAAAAAAACAATATTTATATATATATATATATATATATATATTATTTTATATATATGTTTTTCCTCATCTGTAGGAGTTATTTTACTGTAGACTAATCTCCTTAGCTAATTTTGTGACCCCAGTCTGTAAACTTGTGTGCTGCTGCTTAGTGGAGATGGAAATGACACAGCTAGAGATGAGCTTCCTCCCATCTGACTGGCATGCTGACTTCAAAGGTTGGCTTTGATTATTTAAATGCTAATAGAACTAAGTGAATTGCCTAAAGTACAAACACACCTGGCATCAGTCTTGGTGATCTAATTATGGAGCCTTTCATGTGAAATAAAGTGTTCTTTTTGAAAAGGGTCCTTTAAAAATGTTTGCACAAAATGCCAAGTGAGAGGATGTTGTGTTACCAGTACAACCTTTGCAGAATTGGAGCTCTTATTTGTCCCCCATGGGACTCTGTACAAAAGTGGGCAGCTCAGTGTTCAGCCCTCTCTTATCTGTTACTTACTATCTGCAAATAGATTAATTGGCCCTCACTTTATATTGGTGCAATTAACTTTGCAGATGGGCTGAGGATGTTAGGAAGAGAAACTCTGACTGAACTTAATCTTCAGATTTGCTTACCATGGAATTTTTATTTTATTTGTGTATTCAGTGCTCACTAATTAGCTCACAAGTAGCAAATAGAGTAAGATTAATAAAGAATGGGAGCTAGAAAGGCTTTCAGGATATGTTGCTGGATTTTCTGCTTTGGTGGTAGCCTCTCAACTACGGGACTAAGTTAGGATATTTGCAAACCAGCCTATATCCAGAATTACTTTTGCTAAGGGTTTAGACAAGTAGCTATTCTCCAGTTTGCCCATAGTTGGATTGAGCTGCCTTTTAGCTTTGATGATGTCCTACTTATGTTCTACTCGTGCATCTACTAAGCCTCCAACAAGAGGGGGAGAGAGAGAGTGTGTGTGTGTGTGTTTTGTTTGGTCTCCTTCCCTCCTTCCCTAGTTTAGCCTTCTTGCAATAAATGAGGAAGAAAGGAAGGAACGTGCGCTCTGAAGTGTTTCTAAATTCTAGAGGACTTTATCTGTGAACGAGGGTATTTTTTTATTTTCACTAAGGATACATGAAAGAGAATCACAGCAAAAGCTTGAAGCAAATTCACCTAATTATGAAAAACAGTTTATTGTCCATGACATAATGAGAACTATTCATTTATACACCTATTACACAAATGGTACAAATGTCTTCATTATTACATTTCAGATAGTTGCTCACRAATTATTACTCTGATACAAGTAAGCAATACAGCAATGGTGTATTCTGCTGGCCAAGTAATTCTGGGCAGGGTTGGGGGCGCAATTTGTTCTGCCCATCATCTATASATGGATTGGTGGAGCCAATATGAGTAAGGGTTGAACTTCTCACTGAGTATCACCAGGTCCTTTGAGCTGTCAGCATCAGTCCTGTCAAGAAAGCACAGCAGTAAGTAAAAGAAAGAGAAATTGTCAGGATTTCATTCATGGAAATTAACTGTTTTCTTACTGTTCTAGGGCCAGGTTCTGCTCCACTGTTCTGCTCAGAGAAGTTTCTCTGGACTGACACAAGCATCTCTGGGGTGCATAACTCTTGATCTGGCTTCTGTGACAAGATGAAATGCTTACAACTGACTTGGCGAAGCGGGGAGGTGCAGGGAAAGGAGATGTAGCATTCTTGGGTTTTAAGCATGCAACTGSTGCCAGCAATTTCTGAGGAGGGTAAAAATAGTTAACCATGTTTGCAATAGGAGGGTAGAAGTTACTTTAAGGAACATTTTACTTTAAAGCTGAATTAAATAATTTCTTCAACATATTTACAGAAGTTATATGTGAATACGCAGACCCCTTGCCTCTGGCTTTCTCTTACCATAGTGAGCAGTTAGCATCCTAGTCCACTCAGTGACCCAATTCTGTCCAGCTTGACTCCAAAACAGCCTCTGGATAGGCCCTTTTTGCTTCTGCCTCGATAGCTCTGGGGTAAACCCATGAAGTCACTGAAAAACCTCTGGACAGCGTYGGCACTAGCGGATATGTCCTCAGGCTGGTCCCTGATGTTTCGGGTCCACTGGAACTCAGACACTTGTTGGTCAAAGGCACCTGGTGGAATCATGTCATTTTGCTCATGGGCTGTCATTTCTGAGACCAGTGGATGCTCCAGATCCTCATCTAATAATTTGGACAGACTCTGGAAGAAATAAAAAGATGGGGGAAAGGGCAGGGGAGAGGAAAAATGKCTGGATGTCTCTATACTCTTTATTTTCATATGAAACATGGTCAGTGCTATTTTGTTTTATAAATGCATTTTGTTCTTGTATCAAAAGTGAAGGTAGTGAAATGGTCACGAAGGTAGTGAAATGATCATGTTTAGTCTGGTCAGCCAGACTCCTCAGAACTCACACTGGTTGATCTCTCCAAATGCTGTAACTCTGTATAGTGTTACTGTACTCTATAGTTTAATGCAAAGAAATTGCTGGCGAAGTCTCTCCTGGAGCTAGGAGCCTGGAGTATGGGGTAAATCAGGAAGGACAACGAAAGAGGCTTAAAATAAATAAGGAGCAACAGCAAATGGTTGGTACCTTGGCATGATAAAAGCAGTTATGCAATGACAGAAAACATTCCAAAGTTGGTGTTGGAAAGATTAGATGATGCTTTACAGCCTGGAAGGTTACATAATATATAATAATACTCTGTCACAGTTTGGAGTTTCTACACACCCCCCATGCACGTGCTTCTCATATTCTGCTTGCTGGGACTCCCAAGCAGGGACTGCGCTCACTTCTGCACCCCCAGCTGAGAAGATGATCATCCAATTCCATTGGCAGGGTAAAAGAGGTGCTCAAGGAAGGAGCGGGCAAGTGATCTCTGTAGGGCTGTAGACAGCAATCCCTTTGGGCAAAATCCTTTTACTCCAAAAGTGTAGTGCTTCACTCAGTCACAGAGTGGCTCTGTGCAGCCCCCAAACTGACCCCACAGGGAAAAAAAAAATCTTCCTTTCGTTTACGTTAGGTGATCAGAGATTTAAATCCAGGAATCCCTTATTTCAGTTTTCTTACAGGTAATAACCCTCTCTCTTCCCACTTCAAGATCTCTGCTGTTATGGTCTCTTGCGTGTCTCCAACCATACTAGCTGAGCTTGGAAGAAATGCAACTAACCTGAGTCCTAAAGAAGCATCAGTTTCTTTCAGTTCCATTGAGCAGCTGATCACTTACCTGCAGGTTGGAAATGGGCCTGGTTCTGACTTGGTTCTGACTGACAATGAGCAGCAGGAGGAATCCAGGGGAGAAAAGAAGTTTTGGGCTCATCTTTGTGTTGTGATGTCTCTGATTCCCCCTTCTCTTGAGTCTCTCTGGTTCAGTGTTGCTGTCTCCAGCTACCAGCCTTTATATCTTCCTCCAACCCCTCCCAAGTCTACCTTTTGAGTTCCTGCCACAGCAAGGATTGGTTTAAGGATCTGTTCCGTTTTCATTCCCCCAAGAGGAGGAGGAGGAGGGAGGAAACAGTTCTCTTTTCTGGCTGGGAGTAAAAGGAGCATTTTACATTTACACCTTGCAGCATCATTTCACTGCTGTGTCTCAGCAGCCTGCTGTCTTGGTGATTCTYATGCACGTCCATTACCTCTGCTCAGTGTACATGGGGTTGATCACTAAGCCTTTCTTTTACCTCAGAAGAAAAACAATTGAGAGAGTAGTACAAGGTGAGATAGGAGGTAGATTATATCCACTATGCATTTGTCTGGCTCCTTTGTCATGGGGAAAACCAAAATCAAAAGCGCAGGGGGTCTCTTAAAAGCATGAACAGCATGTTATTAATTAATGTGATAATAARGCATTCATATCCTCTGGGAGAGAATAGTGTGGTTTGGGAAAGAAGGAAAATCCACATCATAAAAGTACGACAAGTCATTTGCATTAGTTCAAATGTAAAATCTTACTGGCCTGAGTGACAGACAGTATGGCTGAAACCATGATTTCCTGTAGAGAAAAACCCTATGTGACTTAGATTTCTCCCTTGGATCCAGCTTAAATCATTATCTCTGTGTATACTTTCTCAGTTACTTTACACAATTTTTATTACAAATGAAATGGGTCTGAATGGAAGCACAGTCCCAGTCTCTTTCCTACTATATGTCCTATGCGTATATATAAGGTTATATATAAGGTTTAAAAAAAAAAAATTACAGACCAGAATGTGCATGGGGTGTGTTTCTACAGTTGCCCTCTKTCTCTTTTTTAATGGAATGAATCAAAGTAGCAGGTTCGGACAAAAGGGTTTCTGTGAAATGTGGATGGATTCAGAAAAAATATGATTCAGTTTCTAGCCAGAGCTTTGAGGATATTTAAAGTCATTACTATATGTCCAGCCTTCCTCTGTCTTAAAAACATCTGTTAAATGTGTGAGTGTGCTAATTAAGATGTATATAGATAAATGATCCTCCAATACCACACTTCTGACTTCTTCATTGGGTTCTGCACCTACAAAAGGCCTGTTTTTCTGCTCTGGGAGCAAGGGGAAAGATCAGCAATAAAATCTATAAGTTGCAAGATTGGGGCAGTAGGAGGCCTTGAAATGTGGCCCCACTGGAAAATGGAAATCTTCCTGAATGTGAAATACCTCATCTTGATCTTTCACTGATCTCTTCCCCACATGTGGTATAGAAAGCTAAAGGCCGTTAAGCTGTATCTGTATGGAGGAAAAGGCAATGAAGGACCATCTGGCACTCTTTGTCATAATTTCTTTGAAGTTAATATTCTTGTTGGTACTAAAAGCTTGGGGAGAAAAGCAACAACTCTGTGATACACAAGATCAGTTTAARGCACAATGGTTGCATATCTCTGGAAAAGGTTGTTCTAAATAGACAGCTCATAAAGATCCCATTTTGGCAGAAAGATAGCTATGGCCATTGGATTTTTGTTGCTAATGTTGATTAAAAACCAACGTGGGATCTGAATCTTGCTAAGAAAGGAGATCATCAAAGCACAACTTTTAGTTGTACATGATCGTTCTCCCTTCTAGAGAAAGTCAAAAGTCATTTCTCATTTCTCAATGAGAAATTGAGGCATGTAATATAGCTGTATGGTAACAGACAGGCAGGGTGGTTTCAGACTCCTCTTTTCTACTATAAATATATGTAATGTTGTCTTGTGATTCTGATGACTTTTCACATGTCTGCATAGGTGTGCACACACTTGATAATGAATCTTCTTGGGCTCAAGGTATTTGAGCTTTTATTTTTTTCTTGCTTGAGCTCAGAATTTGTAACAATTTCCTAGGACTTTTGAATTTTCGTCTAGTAAACTGTTGGAAATATAAACACTGGCACTGTGGAGTCATTATCAGTGACTATGTAGATAAAATCACAAAATAATTTAGATCAGAAAGGACCTCTGGTCCAACCCTGTGCTAAAATCATAGCCAACTTAGATCAAGTTCCCCAACGCCTTGTCAAACAGATTTGAAAATCTGGAAGAAGGGAGATTCAGCCTGGGCCTATCTGGGCCTTCAGTGTTTGACYGTCTACTTAAAGTGTTTTCCCAAGATCTAACTGAGATTTCTCTTGTTGCAAGTTGTGCCAGTTCCTACCTTTCTAATGCTGTGCAGTTGGATGATGTCCCTAAGCWGAACAAAAGGATGCTACATCTCCCAAAACAGTGATCCTTCCTGTGAGTGCATTTCACATAATTCAGAATCTAGAGGAGGACAGCTTGGCTAGACTTAGTCAACAGCTTAGTTCAAATCACCTCTAATGCAGTGGACAAAAGCAGTTAGAAACAAAAAGCTATTCAGCAAAAATCTTGACCTACCTTTCCAAATCTCCTCTGGTCTCTGATTAGCATTGGAAGTCAGTGTCTGAATACCCACAGTTAAAAAAAAATGCTATTGGGGTGATTCAGGTAAAAAGCAGAGCCTTGGACAGAAAACCCCAGTCCATAAGAAAGACTGTGGTGAAGAAGCCAGGCTTTAAAGCTGATAGTACGTAGCATGCTTAGCTACTATTTGAGCACTGCTGCAGTTACTCATCATCCTCGTTCGCAGCTCAGTGACCCTTTTCAGCTTTTCCTTCGCCCCAATTTCTCGGGCCAGCGTTTCCTGGCTCACTACAACTAGTTGAAAGGGCAGTGACGTGTTTGCAGCACCTTTGTCGAAATGGGATCGCAAGCCCTTTATGGAAGCTGGCACTAGGGGCCCCTCGTTGTGAGACATTAACATTTAGCTGTGGTATCTAAGCATTCACTTGCTTGTCCCCCTTCTTTGCTCTCTCCTGAGTCGTCTAGTGGCTGAACTGCGTCAGGGTTCAGTACCCAGCATTACCAGCCCTAGCTGGTAATTACCCAGTCGCAGGTGCTTGSCCTGCTCCTCTGGCACTTGGTTGCCTTCACCTTTCATTATGTGCTGACAGCAAAGCCTTATGGAGGAAGGCAGGGGAATCTGCAGCATCATTTTTTTTTTTTTTGCTACAGAAAACAAGCACAGAGACTGTGGAGCTCATTTACTGTGGTGTAAAGCCCAGCATGTCTGCTGGATTTGTATGTGATTTGTATCTGTGATCCAGAGCAGAATCGGGCCCCTATCTCAAGGATTCCAGGGACTGTATGGTGGGAAGAATTCCCTAACTCTGTAATAAGTCATCTGTGGGGAAAAATCAACCCTTCAGTAATGGAGGAGCTCAGAAAGACCTTTCCTCGTGGGAAGGTCATCCCAGAGTGGCCCTCTGCAGATGTTTCCTCTCCCCACTGATGGGACATGTTTTCTTTCAGAACCTTTCTGTGAACCCTGGGATAAGGGAAAGGACCTGAGCATAAGAAAGGCAGGAGGATGGCATTTAGTAGCGGGTCATAGGTGGTCATGGAGCATTAGTTTTCAATAGCAAAATTTTAATATTAGGTTTGTCRGGTGCATTTATCACATTCTGCTGACACTAATGAAGCCTAGCAGGGAAACAACATGAGAGGAGGGCATGAAATAGTTTGAGACTGTGTTCASTGCTAGTCAAATAGCTGTTTCTGTCCCCTTCTGTGTCCCACTGCTGCTTGCTGGGATAGTATTTGGGCCCAAATCTGATCTCTGGCACAGCAGGGGTGGAAACAGAGAAGCTGGATCAGAACTCCCTGTCTAGCCAGTAGCAGACAAGATCGGTCCAACTTAATCTCATTACAGAATTCACAGAATTCACAGAATTCACAGATTCACAGAATATTTAAGGTTGGAAGGGACCTCTACAGATCATCTAGTCCAACCTTCCTGCTCAAGCAGGCACACCTACAGCATGTGGCACAGGGTGGCATCCAGGCGGGTTTTGAAGACCTCCAGAGTAGGAGACTCCACAACCTCCCTGGGCAGCCTGTTCCACTGCTCTGTCACCCTAACAGTAAAGAAGTTGCTCCTCACCTGGAGACGGAACTTCTTATGCTTCAGCTTGTGGCCATTACCCCTCGTCCTATCGCTGGCCACCAGTGARAACAGCCTGTCCCCTTCCTCCCTGCATTCTCCCTTCCTGAACTTATACATATTAATCATATCGCCTCTGAGCCGTCTCTTCTCCAGAGAAAACAGGCCCAGCTCACTCAGCCTCTCTTCATACGAGAGATGTTCCATTCCCTTAATCATCCTGGTTGCCCTAAGTGTTGGCACTTAGGGCATTACCTCTCAGTGTTGGCACTTCCATGACATTAGGAAAAGAAGAGCAATATACAGTGACTCATAGCTGGGTATTCCTGGCCCTCTTTCAATGTTCATCTCCTCAGGGAGGCTTTTCTTCATGCCTGAGAGCATTTTTGGGTCCAGTGYTCATGCTGTGTGGATTGACACTAAAGATCCCTGGTTCTGCTCTCTGCTCATCTTGCTGATGTTTATAACATTTTTCTGTGAATTCTCTCGACATCTAAAGACAAGCTCCTTTTCCCAATATGTTATTTTAGATACCTTTGGAATTTTAATTCAGGCTTTATTGATCTATGTCTTAATGCTTTACAATAGAAAGATCACTTTTTCAGTTTGTAGAATTCTGCTTACAGCAAAGCATAGAACTGAATAGCTGCTAAAAGAGGAAGGTCCATGGTGCCTAACCTCTGGCACGAGGCTGAACTGGGTCTGCTCCATGGGGATTCCATGTCCTCACTTGTTTTGRGCTGAGAGAAAGATTTCCCTAGCAAAGTTAGAAGATCCTTCCCATGAGAGCTTATCCAATTGCCTGTGTTCTTAATGAAGCATGTGGTGACCTCTTCTGGTGAAAAGAAAATATGCCTCAAAGTTTGGCTAGAATGAATCCTCATGGAAAAAGAAAACAGGTCAGATACAGTGAGGG